AGAGAATGGTTTCGGATATCTGTTGCGGAAATTTTTTCTTAATTTCTTCCAATTGTTTGCGAACGGAATCGCTTTGATTGGTGTGAAGGAGTAGAAGACAATTATTAAAGAGAATGGTTTGGCGCTGGAGTTGAAACAGTTTCGACTCTAATGTCTCACTCAAAGCGGTTTTCATTTTCTTTTTCGAGTCGAAGACATTCTGATCCTTATTAATGGAAACCACATTATTGGACACAACGGCCAACAGCGCCGAGTCGTTCGGTCTGAATGAACACAACATTAGTTGTAATTACTGTAAACCAATCGATAACTAAAACTCACTTTTGTTTGAGAATCTGGTTATACATCCGAAGAGCCGTTTCGTCTTTTTTCTGCAATTGATAACAATAAGCGATTTGAGTCCTAATGATTGCCAGCTCTGACTCTATGTCCTCTTCAGTAGCGCCGTCCTCTTCCAATGTTTTGCGACACATGTCTGAACAAAATGTGTCAATAATTGTCTCAAATATATTAATCATTTGATGCAAACCTTCGGCACTATTAAGCTTTTGAAGGGCCTCTTCATAGCGATGTGACCCCAACAGAGCGCACGCCTTATTGTAGATCAGTTCATACGTCTGTTCCTCTATCTGTGGCTTTGACTTAATCGACTCCTCCTTACCATTAATACTAAGACTGGCCACAACTGCAGCCAAATTGGTCTGACGCTCGTCCTCGTAGTCGTCGTCAGAATTCTTAATTAAATCCAAGTATTGGTCAAAGCATTCATCAAATCTTTCCAAACGGTATAACTATAAGAGATGCAAACAATTGAGTCAATTATGTTGACTATCATCTCAACTGATCCACTGACCGCTTGTGCGCGAAGTTCTTTTGCTCTAAAGTCTGGTTCTTTGATTGAGTCCAATGTATCGATGGCTTCGTTCACATAATTGAGTCGATACTCACAGTAAGCCTTTTCGTACAGCAGTTGTTGTCTAATATATGAGAAATAGATTTAAAG